TTCAGTAATTTTCATTTTCATCAAAATTAAGCTCTCTTGAGTTGTTAAAGCCAGTTAAAAAGCTGGAAGGATAAGGATGATTTCTCTCTCTCTTTTTCTTAATAATTTGCATGCTTTGTGGAATATGAACAGTTTTCCTTGGGGGAAAAAACCCCAAGTATCTAAGATAATTCTGGGTGCTTGTACAAGCAGTATAAAACTGCTCTCTTTGGAGTCATGGAACCSTACAGACCAGAAACCAAAGCACTCTCTAGGACTGGAGAACACCACATGAGTTTCCAAACATTCAGGAAAATTTTGCCTGGGATGTAATTGTTTGATAAATCCAAGAGGTGGAAAATTCAAGCCACCAATASTTGTTTTCTGGCAAGACTGTATAAAACAGTCTCAAGCCCACCTAATCTTCACTGGGAACCTGRCAGAGAGAACCCCAAATCTATTAAAATTCAGGGAGGATACTGGGATAGAGAGTCAATCCATCAGGCTGCCAGGGAGAATACATGTTTTGCTGGTGGCAAGGGAATAGAGGTTTTTAACTACGTTGGTACTGAAATTGTGAATGAAAGAATAGGCCTTACTGAAACAAAAGCAGTATGAAACATTTTGTGTGATGTGTCTTGACAAGGCACTTGAGCAGTATTCAACACTCAAATTATTMCAGAAAGAATTGGGTGATTCAAGAGACCTGAACAAGGAAAATATTGAATGAACTGTCATCTCTGATGAAGCAGAATGGAGTAGGCATTCCCATTTTTAAAAAGATTATTAAAGTTTTCAYGTAATGCCTCTCAACTGCTTTTTAAATTCATTTTTAAAGACTTCAAGACCATCCAAAAATGGGAGCTTCAGAAGTTCACTTCATTGTGTTCTTGACTGTCACTCTCAAGTGCTCTCAGAGGTGACAGAAGTGCCATCCAGCCTGTAATAACTAATGCTTGGCTGTCTGCTCTGGATTCTGTGCTCTTACATCTCCTGGGCTCAGCTTCTCCCTGGACTGGCCATGGCTGTGGTTATTTTACTGGCAGGGGATTATTATTATTATTATTATTATTAAGAGGATATCAGGGTGACTATTTTACCTCAGGACTGATGATTCTGCCATGCCTGGTGATGTGTTCCAGACATTTCCAGTTGTTCCACCTGAAAGCAGTTGTCCTTGTACAAAAATCAGGGATAATCATATGCTGCAGAGATTGAGCGGTTGAGCTCAGCTTCCTGCTGTGCCAGTACTTTTTAATTTGGAATTGCCAGGAAAGATGCAACTCCAACATGAATCCTTGTCTTTAAAACACTAAAATGAGCCAGAAATCACAGGCTTTAAGCGTTCCAGGCACTTTAATGATGGTGAAGGTCAAAGCCAAGTGCAGACTGTGGCAGTGAGGAGGTGTCAGAGATAATGCAATTGTTATTTCTGCTGAAGGAAGTGGGCTGGAGCTCCGAGGGGAAAGAAGACAGGCTGCAAGGGATGGAAGGACTGCAGTCTTCAGTAACACAAAGGAATTCTCAAGCATTGGCCATTGTTTTATGGTACCTCAGAAAGCCCAAAGATGTTCCCATCCCTATAAAAACAACTGGAGGGAATACAGAAAAGGGAAATAGAGCTTTGAGAGGAAGGGGCTGGGAAACATGGTGATGCTGGGACAAGCAATTTCTCCTTAATCATATCAGCTCCAGCTCAGATAGTGGGGAAAGAGAGCAAAAAACTTGTTCCTGAGTCCACCTGGAAGAAGGTGTGGTGCAGTCTGAATTCTAGAGCTAAGGGGAGGGTAGAAAGTGAAAGGCTAATGCTTTTTGCTTTGTTTGGAGGGGGATTTTATTTGTTTTATTTAAAGAGTAAATGCCTTGGCTTGCACTGTGCTCTTGCTTTTGAGTTAGCAATAGAAAATGTATTTGTGAAAGGTGTTGGAAAAACCCCGGTGGCTGCATTGAGCTCTTCCTGGGTGAGTAAATATTGTACTTGCTCATACTATGACAACAGAAAAAATAGAAATACTTCAGCAATTCTTACTSCTTGTTTGGGTAATGCAGCCCTGTTTGCTCTCAGTTAAAAGGAAACTTTGAAGGTGAAAGCTTTGTATTTTTTCTGTATGGAGCTCCCAGACAAGGCATAACAAGGCACTTCTAGAGGATTTTTGCCAAATTGCTGATGCCAGTGATACTGGACTTGCTGTGTGGCTGGGAACCAATATCATTTACAAGTCCACAAATTCACTGTTTCTGCAAATTAACTGATGAATTCTTTTGCCTTTTACAATCAAGCACTGAGATAATACAGTGGCAGGCAGGAAAGGGAGAAATTCATTTGCAGAGGTTTGCTAGGCTCAAGATAGATCTCCACAAAGCTTGGTAAAACAGCTTTCTGTGGCTCTTCTGAGTTCCTGTTAATTGCTCAGCCAGACACAACCTTGCACAACTCTTTTAACACCAGCAACTAGGAGATCTTCCATGGTAAACAGAGCCCATAATAATCCTGTTCTCTAATCTCTGTTTCTGTAGCTGAGGCCACCCTTTATAAAACTATATATATCCCTGCAGCACCTAATTGAGAAATGGCTTGGTGAGGGAATAAAAACATTTAGGTGCAGGAAGTGATGACACAGGCACAGATTTACCTGTCTTGTTATTGTTACATGCCAATTATCAGACTGGCTCTGTATGAAAGCATTCCCAAGGGATTTGGGTGTGCATGGCACCTTAGGAGAGCCTGGCAAAGTCCCTGAACTTCTGCAAGGGGATCCCTCTGTGACAGCCACAGCCTCTCCAAAGGGCAGGGCAATGCTGTGACATGACTGAAATATCAACCTCCTAAGTAGCTGTTATTTTTGCCTTTCAAGAMAAGCTGCTCTGCCTTACCGGGTGAAGATTCTTAATTGCCTGCTTCCCCCAGTGACTTGGGGGATTGTTCTTTAACTGGCTGTAATTATTCTTTTCTGTAAACTAACCAAAGTGCAATCTGCGTTCTGTGATATGTTCATTAGCTGGATTCTGTTCTGTGGGTTCACGTGTTCTGGGAATGTCCAGGCTGTAGGAACAGACTGATCTGTGTGGCAAGTGTTTGTGGAACACCCAGAGGAGCAAATCTGTGCCAGGTAACTGATTTAAAATGAAATCCACGACMTTAAGGACAGAGTATCCATGGATGCTCAAGCTGCAGAGTGGATTTATGTGTGAAACATTCACCTAAAAAGAAAGAGTATCTTTTTATTGTCCCCAAAAGAGAGCTTGAGGGGAAGGTTGGTTCTGAGCCTGTGCCTGCTGAAGATTTCTCCTCGTGGTTAGTGTTGATGGCATGATTTCTTGGGGCTTTATCCTGTGAGTGGCACTGTTGATGTTTTCATTATGCAAGTGGGCTGTTAATTTGGCATTGGAGAAATGTGGGAAGAATGAAAACTTCCCTTCATACCCTAGCTCAGACACAATGAATGAAAGAAGACTCACCATGCATTGCTAGAAAAAAAAAGGTCTGAATCCTAGCAGATGTTTTTCCTTGTTATTGTCTAGATACTCAGTGTGGACTGGTTGCTTTTCAGCTGGATAACTGTGTGCAGCACATAAAAATAATGCTGAATGCTTTAAACAGCATCCAGCTCCAGTGCAGCCCCTGGATGTGGAATTTAGTGCTGTGTCTCCTATAATGCCCATGGAAGCATGGCAGCTGTGCCAAGCMTGGGTGGAAAGGTTTGCCTAGCAATCTTCTTGACTGCTGCACAGTAATGGGGGTGACCTGGGCTTTTTCCTGAATAATGAGATGATCCCAGAATGGACTCTGCTCTGAATCTCTGAGTGTTTCTGTGTGGACACTCCTCTGCTGGTCCTGTTGACTCTGCAACAGGAACAGGCTGCTTTAGTGGAGCCAACCACGTCAGAAAGACTCTCAGAAGTGCTCTGGCAGGAAGCTATTGCTGAAAAACTTCAGTTTCACAATTGCCTTTTGAGTTAATTTCTTCTTCTGTACAAGCCCTTTCTCAGAGTATTTTCCCATATTATTTCCAGAGAGAGAGAGAGAGAGCACTTGTACAGTGCTCAGATCTCAAAGGCACCAGGCACTTGGAATACCTGGCTCATAATCAGCCCTGATGAGCATTCATATGCCTGATTTGGCTAGTAGAGTTATCTATGTGTTCTGAGGTGCAAAATTGTTTCAATTGTACCTGAGACTACTGCTTTTGCTGGGTGTTTGGATACCTCAATGGTCTGGATGGGGAGGTAAATGAATACAGAAATTGTAGAAACTGAAATAAGGGTTTAAAAATAAAACAGAAATCAGCTTTTAAAAACAAAAAGCTTGCTTATTCTTCTTGCAAGCATTGGGTATTTACAGAAAAAAAACCCTCCGGAATAAAGGCTGGAGGATGTGATATTGCATGCTTAGGGATTCAATTAATCTCTGACTATGATTCCCACATGTGGAAAATGACAAGAAATAACTGTCATGCTGTTGAGTTCTGTCTATTCTTTCCAAGTTGCACGCATCTTTGAAAATTACTCTGAACAAATTTAATGGTGTCCCTGGATACTACAGATGAGGAAAATAAGTGTAGAAGAGCCCCCAGTGGGAAGTCTGTGGGCCTTTCACTCTGAGATGGTTCTGTCACTTGCTCAAGTGCATGCTGTGTTTCCACCCTGTCACTGGTAACTTTAAATGCTTACCTGCTAGTCTGGAAATGAAAATTATTGTGCTAAATCTCAGAAGACACATCAGGGTTGTAACTTCCTCAGGCTCTTTTTTGTTCCTTTTGCTCTTTTTGTTCTTTTTAAATTCAGTGACAGTGAGGTTTGAAAAGGCAACCATCTTGTATTGTTCAGTCTACTTTACAGGAATAGTGAAAGAAATATACATAGACATAGGCACATCCATGAGTGCATTTCTGGATGTATGTGGGAAAGCAAGCTTTTAAAGTAATCTCAGATGATGATTTATGTATCTGCTGGCTGCAGTTTTCAAATATTCATTCGTACAAACATGTGCCTGGGATGGTATCCCTCAGTTCTTGCCTTACCTTCACATCGTTGATGTTCATCCTCGTCCCCTCCTTCCCGACAAAGATGTCATCKATGTCAACCAGGATGTACCTCTCTAAGGAGAGCGTGAGCTTCTTCCCCGACAGGAAAGAGATGGCATCGATAAAGATGAGTTTGTGGAGCCAGAAGGTCAGGTTGTTTCCAAAGAGGACTCTCTGGATGCCGTCGTGCAGGCCCAGGTCTTGGATGACGGTGGCATAGAGAGCAGCCCTCGGCAGCGTGGCGGGGGTGGGCCTGGAGGGCTGCAGCTCTGTCAGCAGCACGGGCTGGTAGGTGGAGTGGTTAAACTGGAACACYGTCCAGTCCTCACCGGGCAGGGGCCCCTTCTCCACCCTGGGCGCTTTGGTGATGCGCAGCAGSGGCGACTGAGGGTTCACCACGCAGTCTCTGAGGGCCACGTTGGTGTGCAGCTGCAATGGCAGCCCCTTCAGTCTGATGCTCGGTGAGCTGTTCTCGTTGGCTTTATGAAAACCAATGATGCTAACACTGTATTCCACACAGTATTTTTCCAGAAGCTCTCTATTCCACGAGTCCATGGACACGTACTTTAAAATATTCTCGTATATAACAATGGTGTATTTCCCTCTGCCGTTGTCGGTGAGAGGGGGAATGTCGCCCTTGGCTGGCGCGATGACCATGTGGTACTGGAACCTGCTGGACTCGAGGATGGCTATGATGTCTTGCCCCAGCTGGGAGTATTGGCTTTCCACAAACAGGAGCACAGTGGGATCAGTTCTGGAGGGATCAATTGGCTTGGGGGTTCTCAGCTCCACAGACCTGTAGGGCAGAAGTTTGAGGTCCTCACACTCAGCTTGTCCGGTGGTTTCCACGAGGGCCATTTCCTGCTTGTAGCCAGTGTAGAGGAAATAGGCGGAGATGACAATGCTTGCCAAGCAGAAGGTGGCCAGCAGAACGACCAGTGTCCGGAAGCTTCTGCGGAGCTTCCCGATGAGATTCATCTTTCGTGGGGCTTCCAGATCCTGCTGGACTCGCCGCTCTTCCGGGTGCTCCTCCTAAAGTGCCATRGGAATGAGGAGTTGCAGAGGTGCCAATTCCCCTTCCAAGACGTTCATGTGACCATTGCAGTGCATTTATGAAGCTGTYGGGGAGGCTGTAAAGCTGTTTGAGAGGGAAGTCAAAGGATCCGGAAAGATGAATTGAAAGACGTTTTCTCAGAATGCAGCAGCTGCCAATAATCAATGAGGAGGACTCTTAACATTATCTGCAACAAGAGGCAAAAGAAGAGTAAGTAAAACAAAATCCATAAAGCAATTAAAARCACACGTTAATAAGGCTGGTGATTGATATTGGCAATCTGAGCTAAGAGGGAAGTTTTTGAGCAGTTCGAGGAGCACTCAGTGTTACTTGCTTTCTTGGTGCATTAAGATAAGCTGCATTAAACAGCATCTCCCATGTTCTTAGGATACAGAAATCAAGTCTGAACATAACTTTTTTGAGGATGTGCATCTACTTATCAGCATTTCTTATCTAAAATGCTTCATTGCTTTTTCAAATGGGAATGTTGGYAGGGCAAAATTAGGATCAAGTGAATCTTTGTTAAATATGAGACCACGTTCCATGTCAAATTCAAGCTTCACAGGTATTTTGAAGGGGTGATAAATTCTGAGTTGGACTGGGAAACTAATGTGGCCAAAATGAAAGACAYGACAGGGGTTTGAGGAAAGGTTGTAGAGCTTTCTCTCCAGTTTCCATTCTGCAGTGGGAGCAATCAGTACTTCACAGTCCATTTTAGAAATTATAAAAATTCTGTGGGGATTTTCCAAGTGAATGAGCAGGCTGCTACAATTGCAGGGTGCAGCTGTGCATGGCTCTGTCTCTGTCAGGGATCAGTGGGAGGTGCTGTGTAGCAGGAATAGTACCACAAGGGAGCTTGGATGGGCACACCAGTTCTTGTCTTAGTCTGTGACATCTCCACCTTAAGCCCTGGGCCTCTGCTCTGTCCCTGTACAGATGAAGTATGAGGTGCTTAAACCTCATTGTTCTCAAGCCCTTGTGCAATTCCTGGCAGTTTTGCTGAAATTCATGAAAAATTGCCATTGGTAACAGTAAACCATATGATTCAGAGGCAGTTAAAGCCAACTAAATAAATAGCCCGTGCTGCTCTGTGGATTTAAGTAGGAATTAACATCTTGCTGAATTATTTATATTGTTTGTCTATTGGAACAAGGCGAGACAGTAAACAATGAATGATTTTGGACCTGCAGGGAAGAAATGCTTTTTCCAGGCAGATACTTATCAGWTGATGTGTCCTCCTCCATTAACTCAGATGAGACTTTTGACTTGTGTTCTGAAAACTATTCAATCATCTTAAGCTTTGCACCTCAAACTGGAAAATAGTGTAAGAATTGTAAATGTAAGAAGCATTTAGAGAGAGGGAGTTGTTGCTGAGGCYATTTGTGACTCCGCCAGGTTCAAGCTCTTATCTGATTTACCTTCCTGGAAGCTGGCTAGGAGATTGATAGCCCTGGATTGTGGCTATTCCATCAGTGACCCTGCTGTGTCACACAGCTGGGAAAGAGGGGAGCATGGTGGGACAGAAGTAAGAAACTTCTTCTGCATTTACTCATTTCTTATATGTGAGAGAAATAGGAAAGAAAGCACAGCTACCATTAGGAAATTAAAGTCATCCTGATAATCTTAAGAGTATTTGCCCCGCTTTGGTGCTTCCCTYGTTCTGCCGTTGTCTGCGTGCTGGGATTTCACTTCTTATTAAACCTCCAATTAAGATTTCCTCTAAAGATAAAACTGGATCAAGTGAAGCWTCCTCTGTGAGACGGTGTTTGGGTTTGGGTGACATTGATGAGTCACTCAGCCCGTCTCCGAGGTTTTATCAGATCAGGATTCTTGCTCTCCGTGGGAAGGGCAGCCTCCAGAGCTGGGGGATCCGCTCCCCCACCCCAAGAGATTATTGCAAAAAGCATTTTTGGGCAGCACGAGACAGGCAGGGAACTTGGAAAAAGTCTTGAAGTCCCCCTGCTCGGACTGTGYGTCCTCAGCTTGCTTTGGGCACTAGAGGGCAATCGCTTCCTGCTTTTGCTCTCCGCTGCTCTCCCCTCGCTCCCGAGCACACAGCCCTGCCCGCGGCCACGCTCCCGCCAGAAGGCTTCCAAAATCCCCAGGGAACGGAAAACACCTTAATTAAAACTCTTATGTTTGAAATTAAATAAAAACCAGGATTTCTGCTCTAAGAAATGTGCTGCTAGATCATCCTGGATGCTTAGCAAGTGTTTCAGCCTGCACCTGTGGCACAAGGGAATAGCACACGAGGAGACCTAAAATTGCACTTATTTCCCTCAGTGTTTGGCCCTGCTGGATCTCCTGGCTACTGCTGTTGCAAATGTCAAAATAATAAACTTCATGAATATAAAATCTTATATTACTAAAAGAAGAGAAGCCCCCGACTTTATACTAGTCAAAACAAAACTGTAGTACTCATCSCTAATTATTTCTGCCAAGTAACACTGGTAAAATATCATCCAGACAAAAGAATAATAATAAGATTTAATGCTAACTACCATCTGTTATATGCAGATATTATAATTAAGTGCAAGTATTCCCACTTACTGACATGTCCAAATAAATGGAATCGATAAAGGACTTAAACTTRTGAGCTGTCCAAATAAATAGAATTGATAAAAAAATTTAAACTTGCGTAAGGAAACCTGGCTTTGGAGCAGATCTTTTTTAGTCTGCACATTGTGTTTGAACTTCTCTGTTGAACTGATTCTACTGCTCAAAAAAAAAAAAAAAAAAAAGAATGGTGAAGTAATTAAAGGTTATGAAAATAAATCAGCTATATTAGCCATTAGTGGGACTTTTTCCAAGGCATAATTGGAAGTTAAGTGCCATTTGTGCCTTTGAAACTCTTCCCCTTAAAGTTCAACAGCTTTATATTCCTCCAAAATTCAACTATCTTCGGAGGGTTCCTGTGCTATATTAATTTGAAAAACATGAAAATAGGCCATATTTCATAATTAGTGTTACTAATGGAGTTTCATTTTGGAAACTGGTGTTCAAGGTCTCCYATTTCTGTGGTCATTGCTGAGTGTTCTTTGACTCTACAGGGGAGTAAAGCCAAAGCTGGGCACATTTGGTCAAGGAATYAAGGTTACATTGATCCAGAGTTGGTTCTTCAGTAGATCTTCTCCATTCAGCTGATTTCCTCGATGTGAGATATTTCCCYAGCAAGAGCAGAACTCTGTAGTACAACTCTGTTGTGATGTCAGAGACATCTGCAGCGACTCTAATTTTTCTTTAATTCAGGCAGCTGAAGAAAAATGGAGGTTTAAAAATTGCTGCCTCCTTGCTAAATAACACTTCCTGCTTGCCCGCAAAAAATGCATTTGATTGATGACTAAAGCGTCCTGATTTTGAAGATGATTGATTGGGAGATTAGGACGTGACGGTTTCAAACCGATAGCACGACAGCGAAGAGAAACAGCTCCTTATTAATGCCATGCGTTTCCAGTGCCTCAGGAATTAAAGCTGGCTCCCTCGGGGCCAGTTCCCACAGGCACAGATTCCCCCAGGGCTCGGTGGCTGAACAAGCAGACTGTGTGTGGGCTGGGGGAGCTCCTCTTTGCCCAGGTAGGCAAAGGATCTCTGTGCCACTTCGGCTTACAGAAAGTAGAAATATTGATGTTAATCCATCAGTTTGTTGGTTCACCCTAAGGATGGAGCTAATGGACTTCACATCTGCAGTGGGTTCAGAGTGTGTYGGTGCTGACAGTGCTGAGCAGGGGAGCAGGAACCTCGCTGTTCCACAGCAGAGTGGCCATTCCTGATCTCCTGTCTGCACCAGAGGGCACTGCTGGCAGTAATTCACCTGGAGGCAGGCCAGAGCTTTCCCTTCCTTATTCCAGCATAAATCACAAGTCAGAATGTCTTTATTGTCTATATATAAAACTTCCCTTTAGGCTAAAAGCCTAATGTAAAGCTTTTCCTCTTTTCTTTCTTTTCTGAGCTTGTAGGACTCCTGTCATTTACTAGCAGCCCAATAAATCATGATACCTGCCTTGCTGCTCCTTGCATGTGACTCCTCATTCATTACAGAAACAAGCAAACCGATTTGAGTGATAAATGACTCCTGGTGACCATTAGCAAAAATGCAGGGTTTCTATTCACTGCAGAAGGAAAAAAAGAGCTTTTTTTTCCTCTCTCTCAGAAAAGTTTTCAGGCGATTTTTTGACTGAGCTCACAAAACTTACATCCTTTTTGAAAGTAACTTTATTTCAAGCTTAACAAAGCTGCAATGTGTTTTGTATCTGTAAATGTGGCTTTGCTTGGGAGGACTGTTGGTACCAGCTTATCATAGCTCATCACAAGGCATTAGAAAACTCTTTTTACCTAGGATAAGGTCACTTTCTCAGCTGATAAAGGCTGTCTTGCAGACCTTCTGACTTSTATTTTGTAATTCCTGAGTGGAGAGGCTGCTCAGTACTTGCACTTTTTTTCTTTTCAATACATAATCATGTGTGAGTTAAACCCCAATTTTTCGGTGTTTTCAGCCATTTGATCAAGTCTGTAGTGCACATATAATCTTGTGTGATTGCAGAAAGCTAAATGATGCCAGAGGGTGAAGTCGATAATCAATGAATATAAAGCAAAGAGTTTCAAATACTTCAACTTGTATACTTGATGAGAGCTGGTGTGATTTTAGYGTGAAACAGTACTTGGAAGGGAGCTGCTTGACCCTTCTGACTTGTATTTCTCTATGACTTTAAACTTTTCCAGATGATTTCAGAAACTGTTGAAAAGGCTCCCTGGTGGTACAGCAGTGGGAGGGTGATTTGGAGATGAGTTTCACATACAGGAATATTCTCACACCTGTGCACATCCTTTGGTTGCCCAGCCCATCTGTGACCCTTCATGTTGCTTAGCTCCTAGCAGAAATGTGTTTTTAGGCTTAACCAGACCACACTTCTGGTAAGAATTGCCTGATGTTCAGCCTCAATGCTTCCTTCTTCTGACCCATTAACTGCCAACAGTCCCASGGTCATTTGGACCACCCAGAAAATCCCATAAATATCCCATCTGGGATGATTCAGCGAGGCTTCCTCCCAATGGCACAGTTTATGGATCTCTAAYGTGTCAGTACTTCTGAACATGAGGRATAGTTGTAATATTTTCTCAAAYTGCTGACTGSTGGTTTCTCTAGAGTGTCAGGTGTGGAAGCTCCTACAAAYCAGTAATTTAGGTATA